CCACCAGGGGCCAAGAGCACCATCAGCTGCCCGGTACAGTGATGGTACCGGGTACAGACCACCACCAGTACAGCAACCACCACGGGCCAAGATCACCATCAGCTGCCCGGTACAGTGATGGTACCGGGTACAGACCACCACCAGTACAGCAACCACCACGGGCCAAGATCACCATCAGCTGCCCGGTACAGTGATGGTACCGGGTACAGACCACCACCAGTACAGCAACCACCAGGGGCCAAGAGCACCATCAGCTGCCCGGTACAGTGATGGTACCGGGTACAGACCACCACCAGTACAGCAACCACCAGGGGCCAAGAGCACCATCAGCTGCCCGGTACAGTGATGGTACCGGGTACAGACCACCACCAGTACAGCAACCACCAGGGGCCAAGATCACCATCAGCTGCCCGGTACAGTGATGGTACCGGGTACAGACCACCACCAGTGCAGTGATGGTTCAAGTATCCTGTCATAAGTGTGCGCGTTTCTGTCCTCTCCTTGGATCTCAAATTACTTGTCGGCAGTTCCATCAATACAGTCACTTGTCATTTGCTCAGTCATTATAGTTACTTGACTGTAACTATAGTTACAGTCAATATAGTTGTAGATATCCTCTAGCTGGCTATTAGACTAGGCTCAGCACTCCTCCGGCTGGCTATCAGACTAGGCTCAGCACTCCTCCGGCTGGCTATCAGACTAGGCTCAGCACTCCTCCGGCTGGCTATCAGACTAGGCTCAGCACTCCTCCGGCTGGCTATCAGACTATGCTCAGCACTCCTCCGGCCAGGCGCCACATCCGTGTGATCTAAGCCCTCCTTCCTCTCTCCAAGATAAACAAAAGCCACTTTCCTTTTCCATTCACAACAGCTTCCCACAAGACAAAGCTCCAGGAATTTCGAGCAATTACCCACGAAACCCAGAGTAAAGCCCAAGCCCGGGGCCGGCTGGCAGCTCCTCCCACCCGCCGCCTCATATAAGCGGCGCTGATGGACAGGTTCCGTCCCTGGAGGATGAGACGGTGGTGGCGAATATTCAGTGTTGTGACTCGTGCGTTAAAGAGGGAGGAATATCTCACTAGTCTGAGGAGAGCAGCTCACACCATCTTGGAGAGCTTACGCACACCCTTTTTTATTAAACGGTATATCGATTTTTGAGAGAGAGAGAGAGAGAGAAAGAAAGAAAGAAAGAAAGGGGGGAGAGGGGGGTCAAACAACCAGGATATGGTCAGAGGAAGAGGGATGGACCGAGGAAGGCAGATTAATAACTACTGTGTCTGTCACCAGAACAATGAGTTTACAGCTGACTGATGAATGCATTATCTTTCCCATCAGGACGACTCGACCCGGAGGGGTCAGGACTCTGTGACACCGGAAGGTTACTAGGTTTAATTCTAGAAGGTGGAACGCACTTAGTCTGTCTCATATCTTCAGACCAGAACAGCGGCTTCACAAGCCACACTAAAATATTCTTTTGATTATCATAGCACGCATATTTTCCCCATCGTGAAAATGTGTTTAAACGGAAAAGAGAAAAGGAAGAGAGAGGCGAAAGGAACGAACAAAGAGTTGGGCGAGGTGTGTGGTGGGCGTGGTGTGTGGTGGGCGAGGTGTGTGGTGGAGAAAAAAAATTGTCAAAACAAACTACTGTGAAGACTTATGTTTAAATCTTCACCGTTTCCTGAGGAACAGCTATAAAACAGCTGGCAGGTAAATACTGAAGAGTCCCCTAAGATAATCATTAAACAACGTTTCAAATAATTATATTTTAATCAAAATATCTGCAGTCATATGTACTGCAAGATGAATTCATTAATGGAGAAAAAACACTAATAAAAAAAGGATTGATCTAATGCTGAAAACCACCACCTGCAACAGTATCAACACCAGCAGCAGCAGAGCCACCTGCAGCAGCGCCAGATGCAGCAACAGCAGCAGCAGATACGCAGCAGAAGACTGGCGTTCAGGGCCCATCTCGTCAAACAGCGAACGTCAAGGACAGCAAGATAAGCGTTTACTTTTATGATACAATTTCGACCCACAGCGGCAAGTGGCCCACCAGGCGACTTCTAGATGTCCCAATTGGCCTGTTTATGACGGGAACCCCCCAACTAGGGCCGGCAGGAACCACGGCGTCTCCTATTGGTTCCTAGTATCCACGTCCGTTAACTTGATTCCTTCTTGGAGAAAGACGAGTGGTGTTGGGGGCTTGTTTGACACACACACACACACACACTCACACTCACACACTCACTGGCTGACTTTCGCTGTCATTCCGTTCGTTTATTGCCAAGAGAGTAACCGGGAGGTTGACTTCGTGAAACGATCGAGGACCTTCTGGGATGATGGGCTTCCAGGAACATGTTTCTCTGGTCGTTACAAAGTGATGGTTCCCTCTCGCTACGTGTACCCTCTTGATGGTCAACCATACTCCGTTTTCCATCACCTTATAAATGCTTGGTGTTAAACTAATAACCTTTATCACTGTAACCATCTACACTACACAAGACCATTATCACTGTAAGCATCTACACTACTCACGACCATTATCACTGTAACCATCTACACTACACACGACCATTGTCACTGTAACCATCTACACTACTCACACGACCATTATCACTGTAACCATCTACACTACACGCGACCTTTATCACTGTAACCATCTACACTACACGCAACCTTTACCACTGTAACCATCTACACTGAATGACTGGTCCAACAAATGGCTACTACAGTTCAACCCGAGTAAATGTAAGGTGATGAAACTAGGCAGTGGCACTAGGAGGCCAGACACAGGATACCGAATGGTAGATGAAGTTCTTCACGAGAGTTGATGTCACACCAAACCTGAAGCCCACATAAAAAGCATAACATCGGCGGCGTATGCAAACCTGGCTAACATCAGAACTGCCTTTAGAAACCTGTGTAAGGAGTCATTCAGAACCCTTTGTATTTCACATATGTAAGACCAATCCTGGAGTATGCGACCCCAGCATGGAGCCCGTACCCTGCCAAGCACAGGACTAAGCTGGAAAAATTTCAAAGGTACGCAACTAGGCTAGTTCCAGAACCAAAAGACATGAGTTACGAGGAAAGGCTACATGAAATACACCTAACGTCGCTGGAAGATAGGAGAGCTCGGGGAGACACGTTCACTACCCACAAAATTCTAAGAGGAATCGACAGGGTAAAGATAAATTGTTTAACACGGCTGGTATACGAACAAGGGGACACAGGTGGAAACTGAGTACCCAAATGAGCCACAGGGGCATTAGAACGAACTTTCTCAGTGTCAGAGTAGTTAATAGATGGAATGTAGTGGTGGAAGCTGACTCCATACACAGTTTCAAATGTAGATATGAAAGCGCCCAGTAGGCTCAGCAATCTGTACACCAGTTGATTGACAGTTGAGAGGCGGGACCAAAGAGCCAGAGCTCAACCCCCACAAGCACAACTAGATGAGTACTGCACACGACCTTTAATTTTTTTTCTTTTTTTTTTTTTTTGCAGAGAAATTCCCGCGCAAGTCCTAAGCCTCAAGTTTTTTGTTATTAATAACCATCTACACTACACAGCTAAATACACAAACAAACGTTTACATTCCATTTGTCAAACATCCTACCACTCCAACACAAAGTTCTTCCGTACCACTTGAGATCGACCACTGATCTCGTACACTTTCGACGACATCCTCCGCCTGAAGCAGACGACAATTGAACTTCCAAAAGCCCTCCCCCCCCCCCCAACACACACAGCAAAACAGCGATAAAAAAACTCATGGTAAACGATTGACTGTTCATTCGATCTATAAACATACGTTCCGTCGAGGCAGAACTATCCAAAACGAGTAGAACGTAACACTAGCCATGGAGACTACACACAACCTTTATCACTGTAACCATCTACACTACACACAATCTTTATAGAGCGACGGTCTCACTTCATGCAGGTTGACATTCAATCCCCAACCGTCCAAGTGGTTGGGAAACAATTCCTTCCCCCCGTCCCATCCAAAATCCTTATCCTGATTGATTGATGAAGATTAAGCCACCCAAGAGGTGGCACGGGCCATTATCCTGACCTTCCAAGTGCTATATAGTCGCAATGGCTTGGCGCTTTCTTCTCATAATTTCCTCCCTCCCCTACAGTGGAGGCGGGGTTTACCCAAAACTAGTAGAAGGTACCATGACCCAGATCACCAGTGACAGGAATGGCAGCAACCAGACCACAGCACAACAACGTAACAATGAACGCCGGAGACACAATTGCAGATGTGCGGCTATTTGCAGTCTCCAAGTGACGCCACACGAAATCCCAAACACGAGGCAACGCCTATCATGCCATATTGAAGGCCCTCACCAGAACAAAACCCCTCTCTACCCGACTCGCAGAGCCAAAATCATCGGCGTGATTATTAATTACCGAAACATCCTTCACATGATCGTGGAGAAATATAATAGTTTTATACGTCCGGATCATGGAGAGAACTTGCATCTGTTTCCTGCAACAATGGAGCTCGTTAAGGGTCGCACAAACCACAGCGACAGGCATCGCACAGTAATTAAGAAGCTCTACAATCCACAGGAGCCAAAGACCTACAACGGCTGGCATACGACCGGCACTCCGATTATAACTATGGCTGTTGTAACCACTAAATCACCCTTCGCTTGATGGACGGCACCCAACCAGATGTGTATTATTATTATTATTATTTTCTACCACAAACGTGGCCAAACAATGCCAGCCACACATACACATTTTCTTCTCTCCTCCATGAACAGTGAAGGAGGAGGGGGGAGGGGTACCTGCAGTGTTGAGATGTTGAGATGTCACTAATCCCATCCCCTACCCGCCAATTCCATCCTTACTATTCTTGCTTCACGAACCACACACAGCCATTCTATCCATGCTAATAACGGGTTTCATCCTAAATATAAAGCAGTTAATTATACCCATTTCCTAAATATAAATCAGTAAATTATACTCGTTCACACATTTTGTTTAAAACAAAATGTCTCTCAAAATCGTTCTAAACTTCTCGTTGTTGGTGGTGTTCTTCGTGCTTGTGTGTACGTAATGGTGGCTGGGGTGGCAGCAAGCCCTGGTGGGTGACCACCTCCACGGGCTCAGGAAGCAGGTTGCCGACTGGCAGACCCGCTAGAACGGTGTTAGAAGCCTTGCTAGCGGATTAGCAAAAGGTTTAGTCGGTTTCTCGCCAGTGCCAAGATGTCCTCATACGCTATTCGATGACCGCCTTGCTATGCCAGTGTGGCAGTCGGTGCCACCTGTGTCGTAGTTTGTACGCCTCCAGCAGTCAAGCCGGCAGGTGGAGGGCTTGCGCTCGTTCCTGCTACAGGTGGGCGAGGAGCCACAAAACCACGATAGCCAATATGGTCATTGGTCCGAATGTTTGCCTATCACTTCCCTGCTGTTACTACTTCAGCAATTAATATGGGTCGTAAAGATTTTGTGGGGCCGGAAGAAAAAACACATTTAATAGCGTCAGAACGATGACAATCGGCATAAAGTTGCTCAAAATGATGAGGAGCCTCTCATGCTCCCTCACGAGGAAGCCAAAAAGAATATCGCAAGTGAAGACAAGTGGTATGACGTATCTGAAAATGATGAGGAGCCTCTCATGCTCCCTCACGAGGAAGCCAAAAAGAATGTCATCGCAAGTGAGGATAAGTAGTATGAAGTATCTCAAAATGATGAGGAGCCTCTCATGCTCCCTCACGAGGAGACGGACGTAAACACTAAAACAAAAGAAGAAGAAGAAAGCAAATCCGACTCCCCCAAAAAAGTTATGAAGGAACCAAAAGACAAAAAGTCAAAAGCCTGCCCCAAGAAACGTCGCCGCCCACAAAAGATACAATGCCAAGAAGACGACCCCACCGAGTTGATCACACTGACAGTTCAGTGCCCATAATATTACCAAATGAAACTCATAAGCATGTACGAAAAAAAGCACGACGTGTTTCTCAAATTGGGCGGTGGCACCAACACTGTGGAAGTGTTCGGCGAAAAACAAAAGGCAGAAAAATGTTAAAGTGATATAGAGGCATTTATGACGGAAATAAAAAATAAAAAATTAGATAAAAAACGTGCTTAGGCGCAGAAGGTAAAGGACAAGCGTGGCCAGGTACCCAACAAAATGCCCAAAGACATCACAGGACAGGGGCCCGACCGTTTTGAGACCACAGATGGCCCTGCCAAGGCATTGCCAGCAGCCACTGGTGGCCCTGCCAAGGCATCGCAAGCAGAAAAAGGTGGCCCTTCCAAGGCATCGAGAGCGGAAAAAGGTGGCCCTGCCAAGACATCGCAAGCAGAAAAAGGTGGCCCTTCGAAGGCATCGCAAGCAGAAAAAGGTGGCCCTGCCAAGGCATCGAGAGCGGAAAAAGGTGACCCTGCCAAGGCAGCGCCAGCAGCCACTGGTGGCCCTGCCAAGACATCGCAAGCAGAAAAAGGTGGCCCTGCCAAGGCATCGAGAGCGGAAAAAGGTGGCCCTAACAAGGCAGCGCCAGCAGCCACTGGTGGCCCTGACAAGACATCGCAAGTAGAAAAAGGTGGCCCTGCCAAGGCATCGAGAGCGGAAAAAGGTGGCCCTTCCAAGGCATCGCCAGCAGACACTGATGGCCCTTCCAAGGCATCGCCAGCAGACACTGATGGCCCTGACAAGGCATCGCCAGCAGACACTGATGGCCCTGACAAGGCATCGCCAGCAGACACTGATGGCCCTGACAAGGCATCGCCAGCAGACACTGATGGCCCTGACAAGGCATCGCCAGCAGACACTGATGGCCCTGACAAGGCATCGCCAACAGACACTGATGGCCCTGACAAGGCATCGCCAGCGGACACTGATGGCCCTGACAAGGCATCGCCAGCGGACACTGATGGCCCTGACCAGGCATCACCAGCGGACACTGATGGCCCTGACCAGGCATCACCAGCGGACACTGATGGCCCTGACCAGGCATCACCAGCGGACACTGATGGCCCTGACCAGGCATCGCCAGCAGACACTGATGGCCCTGACAAGGCATCGCCAGCAGACACTGATGGCTCTGACAAGGCATCGCCAGCAGACACTGATGGCCCTGACAAGGCATCGCCAACAGACACTGATGGCCCTGACAAGGCATCGCCAACAGACACTGATGGCCCTGACAAGGCATCGCCAACAGACACTGATGGCCCTGACAAGGCATCGCCAGCGGACACTGATGGCCCTGACAAGGCATCACCAGCGGACACTGATGGCCCTGACAAGGCATCGCCAGCAGACACTGATGGCCCTGACAAGGCATCGCCAGCGGACACTGATGGCCCTGACAAGGCATTGCCAGCGGACACTGATGGCCCTGACAAGGCATTGCCAGCGGACACTGATGGCCCTGACAAGGCATCGCCAACAGACACTGATGGCCCTGACAAGGCATCGCCAGCAGACACTGATGGCCTTGACGAGGCATCGTAGGCCTACCAATACGGTCTTCCAGTAAGAAGATATGAGCTTCCACCAAAAATCCCAAAGTTTAAACGCCCTCCACAGGCTATAAGATGCCCTAAGACAGCCCCGCCATCTTCAGATCCTCCCAAGGCTCCAGTTGAACAAAAAATATTTTATGGGCAAATCCCACCCTAAGTATGGATAGACAACGCGCCAGAGAAAAAGGTGCAGGAAGCTCCACGTAAACCAAAAGTTGTGGAATAGGAATAACCAGTAAAAAACAAAAAAGCAATGGCAAAAAGTGAAAAAGCAAAGGCAAAAGCTGCCGAAAACAAAAGCAAGCAAAATGAAAAAAACAAAAATGACAGTAAAAAGCAAAAAAAATGACCCCAATGACCATTTCACTCATACCTCAATTGGGGGTTTCAAATTAAAATGGTTAAAAATTGCGCGGGCCCTCTTGGCTCGCAGGGGTTTTGGGCGGGCCCTCTTGGCTCGCAGGGGTTTTGGGCGGGCCCTCTTGGCTCGCAGGGGTTTTGCGCGGGCCCTCTTGGCTCGCAGGGGTTTTGGGTGGGCCCTCTTGGCTCGCAGGGGTTTTGGGCGGGCCCTCTTGGCTCGCAGGGGTTTTGCGCGGGCCCTCTTGGCTCGCAGGGGTTTTGGGCGGGCCCTCTTGGCTCGCAGGGGTTTTGGGTGGGCCCTCTTGGCTCGCAGGGGTTTTGCGCGGGCCCTCTTGTCTCGAGGTTTAGCATGGGGCCCATGCCTACCCCTGACTCGGGTTAAACTCTTGCGTTGAACTCTAACAACCATCTGTTCGACCATTCCTGCAACTTAGCCAGGTTTTCTTGAAGCCTCAAGCTGTCCTCCTCTGTCTTAATCCTTCTCATAATTTTGGCGTCGTCAGCAAACATTGAGAGGAATGAGTCTATACCCTCTAAGAGATCATTTACGTATATCAGAAACAGAATAGGTTCAAGTAAAGAGCCCTGTAGGGCTCCACTGTGTGTACTCACCTAGTTGTACTCACCTAGTTGTGTTTGCGGGGGTTGAGCTCTGGCTCTTTGGTCCCGCCTCTCAACCGTCAATCAACAGGTGTACAGATTCCTGAGCCTATCGGGCTCTGTCATATCTACACTTGAAACTGTGTATGGAGTGAGCCTCCACCACATCACCCCCTAATGCATTCCATTTGTCAACCACTCTGACACTAAAAAAGTTCTTTCTAATATCTCTGTGGCTCATTTGGGCACTCAGTTTCCACCTGTGTCCCCTTGTGCGTGTTCCCCTTGTGTTAAATAGACTGTCTTTATCTACCCTATCAATCCCCTTCAGAATCTTGAATGTGGTGATCATGTCCCCCCTAACTCTTCTGTCTTCCAGCGAAGTGAGGTTTAATTCCCGTAGTCTCTCCTCGTAGCTCATACCTCTCAGCTCGGGTACTAGTCTGGTGGCAAACCTTTGAACCTTTTCCAGTTTAGTCTTATCCTTGACTAGATATGGACTCCATGCTGGGGCTGCATACTCCAGGATTGGCCTGACATATGTGGTATACAAAGTTCTGAATGATTCTTTACACAAGTTTCTGAATGCCGTTCGTATGTTGGCCAGCCTGGCATATGCCGCTGATGTTATCCGCTTGATATGTGCTGCAGGAGACAGGTCTGGCGTGATATCAACCCCCAAGTCTTTTTCCTTCTCTGACTCCTGAAGAATTTCCTCTCCCAGATGATACCTTGTATCTGGCCTCCTGCTCCCTACACCTATCTTCATTACATTACATTTGGTTGGGTTAAACTCTAACAACCATTTGTTCGACCATTCCTTCAGCTTGTCTAGGTCTTCTTGAAGCCTCAAACAGTCCTCTTCTGTTTTAATCCTTCTCATAATTTTAGCATCGTCCGCAAACATTGAGAGAAATGAATCGATACCCTCCGGGAGATCATTTACATATATCAGAAACAAGATAGGACCGAGTACAGAGCCCTGTGGGACTCCACTGGTGACTTCACGCCAATCGGAGGTCTCACCCCTCACCGTAACTCTCTGCTTCCTATTGCTTAGATACTCCCTTATCCACTGGAGCACCTTACCAGCTACACCTGCCTGTCTCTCCAGCTTATGTACCAGCCTCTTATGCGGTACTGTGTCAAAGGCTTTCCGACAATCCAAGAAAATGCAGTCCGCCCAGCCCTCTCTTTCTTGCTTAATCTGTGTCACCTGATCGTAGAATTCTATCAAGCCTGTAAGGCAAGATTTACCCTCCCTGAATCCATGTTGGCGATTTGTCACGAAGTCCCTTCTCTCCAGATGTGTTACCAGGTTTTTTCTCACGATCTTCTCCATCACCTTGCATGGTATACAAGTCAAGGACACTGGCCTGTAGTTCAGTGCCTCTTGTCTGTCGCCCTTTTTGTATATTGGGACCACATTCGCCGTCTTCCATATTTCTGGTAGGTCTCCCGTCTCTAGTGATTTACTATACACTATGGAGAGTGGCAAGCAAAGTGCCTCTGCACACTCTTGTGTGCAGAGTGTGTGTGTGTGTGTGTGGGGGGGGGGGGTGCAAGGAAAACAAAATTAGTTAGCAGTAACAGTTGATTGACAATTGAGAGGCGGGGCGAAAGAGCTGAGCTCAACCCCCGCAAGTACAACTAGGTGAATACAACTAGGTGAATACACGTGACTGCAATGAACTAGAGACGGTAGACAGGCAGTACGCAGCACCGACGACACAGCAAGTACACACACACGACAGTATATGAACATATAGCGATCTTAATCTGTCATATAAATAACAAAATAAAATAGATATAAAAAAAACACAAACGAAAATAAAACGGAGCATGTTTGTAGCAAATAAAATAAGAACAAAAAATGTAACAAGTCAATAAAAACAGCAAAAAATGTGAAAAAATATGCAGGGAAATACAAGGGAAAAATAAGTGAATACAACAAAGAAATACAACGGGAGAAAACGGACGCCTGAGGAAGTGTTGCCAAAAGCGCTCCATTAATTGATTTACAGGTAATTGGCTCGAAGGAAATTGAATTAGTTGAGCCAGTCACAATACAATAAATTAGATGAAGGATGAGCTCAGCGGTGAATTGAGACAAGATGAGTTCAGACTAGGTGATTTTTTTTTAATTTTGCCCTGAGGGGCGAGTTTATGTGGGCAGCGCCACTCATCTTGTGAGTGAACACACTGCCCAACCCGTCCTCGACTCAAGTCCATTACATCCAGCGGTCGACCCCACAGACGCATTCATAAATTTTAATATGCTGTTCATTCAAAACGGAATTTTCTAGAGTATAAATTAATATTATAATATATTAGCATATTGTGCATATATAGGCATAGGTTAGGTTAGGTTAGGTGTTTAGGTTCTGTTGGCGATTATTTGTATTTGTAGTACGTGGGTGAAGCATTTATAGCGTTGTGATTCGAACAAAATTCGTCAGTGAAACACTTGTTCCGGATATGTTCGAACGTCAGCAGTTGTGAGTCGTGTATAAACCGTTTTCATTCATAAACAGGGGGTTTGGCGGGTGAATGGAATCACTTTTGGATCTTTGTTTGGAGGACGGGCTGCACTGCCATAGTGAGAGTATTGGGCAGCGCCACTTATCCTGTGAGTGAACACACCTCCATAGCAGCATGTACAATACCCCCAATAGGAAGAAAATGCGCTGGGTTGTTCATCCTGTCACTTGTTCCCAGATATAGCTGGGACTTGCTTAAGTGTCTTAAGTGAACAGCTCATCAACTAAGTAAATTAATATATGCCAAACTCTAAAATTTACGTTATCTTGCAGGTGCAAAATGGGGAAATGTTTTAAGAACAGAATATTTGACAAACTGTTCTTGTAACTCAAACAATGTGGGGCTTATTATTCTACACATATTTCTAACGTCTCGTAGATGTTCACATTCTCTCAGGTATTGGTCAAGGCGGTGTCCGTGACTCGCACCACAGATTCTGCAACACCGCTGCTGAACTGTTGTTTCTGTCCCGAATCTCCATGGATATTTGTATCCAAGACGAATTTTTACTATTGCTGATTCTCTCCCGCGGCCGCCACCTCTTCGTCCATAATGATTGGGATTGCCAGCTGCAACCACATTTTACCACTGTACAGATTCACAGATTTTTTGTTCTATCCATCTTTCCTCAGTTACCTTGTCACAGTGATGCTGGTAATACCTCTAATTTGTAGAAGTTTTGGGTATGTAGTATTCAATATGGTCTCCGTTAGCGCCCTCAGCGGTCAGTGTTTGAGTCAGTGCAGATCACTTTTTCATTAGTATTTCTTTCTAGGAATCTTAACGCCATAATAATGGCAGTTAGCTCTTCATGCGTTGAAAAGGCGTAGTTCTCAATATGTGCATTATCTCAATTTCCGTTTTGAAAGACATTATCCCTAATTACAGTGTATGCTGCATCAGCCCTGCCATTAGTAGGATTAGAAGATCCATCAGTGCAGAATTGATTTAAGTCATTTCTAGCTTCTTAAATTTTCTCAACATACTTGTGCCTCATTTCTTGTGGCATCATGTTGGACTTTTTCGCTGTCATCTCGTTGATGATAATCCTACTTGGGTCATCCTCCCAGGGCGGTAACCTCTCTACAGGCTCACAGGCTTGGCAGGTAAAGTTTTCCGATGCAGCAGACTGATCTGTGATGCCATTTTTTGCTTCTCCTGTTTCGTCCTGTATCACAGTACTCAGTTTTTCTCTTGGTAGTATCATTGTAGTGGGGGTCTCTGGCTATATTATTATAATTATTAGTTATAGTAGTAGTAGACATACTGCAGTCTCGGGAGACTATGGAGTTGCGCTCTGTTTGCCGAGACTGGAGTGTCCTCTCTAGGGTGCAAAGCTTGGGTAGGTCAATATGGAAAAGCTGTTACCCATGCAGCAGCTATCCCCACTCTCCACGTTGCGGAAATTGTCCAATGGAAAAACAAACGCCAAGGCACTTGATTCCAGCGCCGTCGCAGGAGCTGCCAGAACGAGGTTGAAGTCAACAACGAACTGCCTTAGGGGGCTCCAACTCTGGATTTTTCCTTGAAGTTGACTCCTGAAGCCCGTCCCAAAAGTGGATAGGGACGCAAGGCGGCGGAGGTTTAATATCAGATCTTTCCGTTCCCTTGATGAGCTGCCTTCTCCCATCTACCCATATTGATTGCACGCTTAGCATTCAATTAGTTAACTCTGATTTTAACACTGGGGAGAGACACCTCTTCTCGTATATCAAATGTTATGGCAGTTTTGGGGACTCAAAGAATGATTGCCATTGCATTATTTTGTATGCTTTCCAGTCTTTTCATATCACTTTGGGATTAAGTGAACAAAACTGGTGCGGCACAAATTATGACGGAGTGCACATAGGCTGTGTACATTATTTTAAGCACGGCAACAGAAGCCCCCAAGCCCATTCCAGGTCATAGCTCTCAGTGCCTTGAGTCGACTTTTACATGTTCCTTCGTGTTGGTTGAGCTCCTCTTTCTTCCCTTTTCTCCTTGTT